TATCAAACAGTAATGGTTGAGTTAACACCAGAAGTTTCTGTCAGTACTTCAAAAGTGAGTTGTTAAATGACTTCTTTCTTCTGCTTTTAGAGTGAAGTCCATCTCTGTAGAGCGCAATCAGTTGTGTGTTCAAAGTAACAAATCCTCAACACTTAATTCTTCAATGCAATTTTTATTTATATAGTAGAGAAAATACAAGTTAAGTTGGAGTAAATTAAGATTTGTGAATAAAATTTTAATCTTGAAATATACACATGGTCATGTGTTTTGTTACACAAACAGCATGCAGAGCATTACACAAATCACAAAGATAAGAATGTGCATAGTGTTTTTTTTCATAGAGCTACCATTGTCTTCTGCTCCTGATACATCTTCACTACTTTGTCTGACAGTAGTGTCTGGGATCTCTGTTTGGGCAATGGATGGACTAATTTCTGGGATCTCTGTTTGGGCAATGGATGGACTAATTTCTGGGATCTCTGTTTGGGCAATGGATGGACTAATTTTAGTCAAGTGGAAGTAACTCTTTGGTGATTCTTTTATTTCCAATTTGCCATCTTTGGAAGAGAAAGAGAGATTTACTTCATCTCCAGGATGAATCACAATTTCCTGATGCATTGAGAACGCTGGAAAACCATCGTTTTTGAAAGGAATATTGTATGCATTGAAGGTATCACTTTTCCCAATAGAAAGGCAAACTTCACCTTCCTGAACTGGATTGCTTGTAAAGATGTTCAACATCATATCAAAACTGCCGCTGAAGTTTTTGGGTTTCGTCCATTTTATTTCTTGATCATCTTAGTTAAGAAAAGAAAAGAAAAAAAAAATCATCTTTCATCATTCAATAACAAAAAGTAAAATACAGATATGCACAGAGTATAACATATATATATATATATATCTACCTCAAGTATCTTTAAGTAGATAGCAATTACTGTTAATTCTAGAATTAAATTATCATCTAATAAAAGTATCTTTAATAAAAGAATTATACAAAATGATCTCCAAAAAGTGGTTTGTTAATAAACTTGCTTATTTAAACCCAATAAATAACAATGGTGAAGGTAAGAGCAGGATGCAAAAATCGAAAAGGATTATATGGTTAAACCCCACCTTTGCATGTTATTCAAAAAATATTGGACAAGTTTTCTGAAACTTATAACACTTCCAGAACAACAATTTAAGGTAGCAAAACTATTAAAAGAAGTTATTCATGTACAAAAGAACACGTTTAAAATAATTGATCCCCACAAATATATCTAAAACAAATTCAATAGGGTCAACAAAAAATTTTAGTATGGACCCCACCCAGCCCCATAATTGTAAAAAAATAGCAATCTTTGACCAGATGAGGGAAATGTAGAACATCCGTCATTTATCGCTTACCATTTGCCCCAAAGAAAATAGATTAAATCACCATGTTTATATTGGTATTTCTGCAGGGGAATGGAAACAGACTTTATAACCATACACGTTTCACCCAAGACTGAATCACTAAACTGCTTCTGCAAAAAGATTTTGAACTGAAAGAAAAAAATGAATCCTCAAATTGATTAAATTGTAGGGTTTTTTTCTCAAACTCCTAGTAACTTTAAAATTAGAAAACGAAATTTTTAAATTTGACAAACAAAATATCTTACTGAATCAAAGTCATGAATCAGTTTCCAAAAATTGTCAGAAGCAAATTCAAACTAATATAATACATTTTCAACTTTGGACAATCCATTATCTTTCACCACATATTGTTTAATTCTTTCCTTTTCACTCCTTTCAAATTACCTTATCTGTTTTTTGTTTTTTCTTTTTTTTAGTTGATAATACTTTGTATAAAGTCTTTGTAATACTCTTATATTATTGCTAGCTGTAATTTGTCAAATGTCTTTTACAATTTTGTTTTTGATCTCCCACATTTAATCAATATTTCAGTTAAATACTTTTTTCTTAATGACCAAATTTCATCCTTTAATTAATATTCTGTGCTCTACAGTCTTTAGTTAAACCCTTTTTATTTAGGGTTTATTATAAGATTTGTTTTAAAACATTAAATATTTAAATTCTTAATCTAAAAAAAAAAAGTTTTTACTTTTATTTCTCTACGTAATTTCTTATATTTAACTTGTTAACTTTGTTCAAAAATAAGTCTAGGTCAGCCTATGTTCAGACAAATTTGAAAAAAAAATTATCTTGATTTTTTCCCTTCATTAATAATTCTATCCCTTTTAACTTTCTTTTTTTCTATCTTTCTCCTTTTAAATGCATTTTCTTAGCTGTAAATTTCTCCTTTAAAAAAATTTTTTTAATTTTTTATTTATCTAACTCCTTCGTGATGACAAAGCACATATTGGGCAAAATGGCCATATATCATGGGGGGTATTGAGTTTTACATGTAATTTATATGCTCTGTAATAAGTACATTGAGCTCTCTTTTGTGAATCAGTTTAATTTTTATATAGTAAATAATATGATGATTTATTTCATGGGATCAAATACCCACCTCTTAAGACTAAACAATTTTACAACAATAAATGGATTTTAAATTTATCCAGATGCAAGTGAAAGGGTTCTAAGTAATTTATATTCACTTAAAATGGTCCTTTACTCATAACTTAATTATTTAATATATAACATTTTTTAAATATTTTATTCATACTACTATTATTTTCAAAATCAAACTTTTTTTTTTTTTTTAAATTATAATGGGTATGATTGATGAAATTATTTCACTACATGAATTGAAGAAACATTTTATGTTCCTTTGTCTATTTTCACTCTTTTGTCATATCAGAAACTTTAATTTTCATAACTTTTTCTCACTCCTACCCATTTTTCTTTATCCTATTTTTCCTTTTTGAATATTTTCACTGTTTTACTTCTCACATCCAGTGAAAAGAACATTCAACAGCTATTTAACAACTTTTCTCTATCTTACTCCTCAACCCCATGTCTATTATCTCTCCCCTTCCTCATAAAAAACCTTATTTTTAAGTTCAATATCTTCCTCTTATTTTTAGAAGACGTTTTCTCTCTATCTCCTACTCCACCCCTTTTTCTGTATAAAATTTAAAATCTATTCATTGTTCTTAAATTGTTTCGTCTGAAGAGAAGGGTGTTTAATACCATGAAATAAATTATTACCAATGGATTTCTAAGGTATCTGTTTTCAATATATATCTGATACCTTGGGCACCTTGAGGCGGTGTAATGGTTAGAAGCTTGTCTCGCTAGAACAATTACGTTATAGTGAGTTCGATCCTCACTGGGTGCCCCAAACATTCGGCCTTGTACCACATCTAAGCTACGCTTTTGAAAATCTCTATATATCTGATACCTAACCAGTAGTCGAATCAAAGACCTGAAACTCTTCTGTAAAAAAAAAAAATAAATAAATAGATTGATTAAAAGAATGTTTGGCCCAGAGAAGATGTATTTATGAAGCTACAGCAAATAAAAGAAATGCCTGTTATATATAAAAAAAAAAACAAAAAAAAACACTCTTTCAAAATTTGTCATTAGTTATTCATTATGTAACTTTTTTTTTTTGTTCAGATCGAAAGGCTGCCCTCACCTTAAGTCAGATTCTAAGAATTATTACTTTGTTCCTGTCAGACACTTTATCAAGTCAAGATTGAATATTTTTAGGTGTCCTTTCTCAAGGAAAGGAATGCTTATGATCCATGCTGTTCTATGAAATAACAAGCCAGTCTTGTATGAGTTCATAACACCTCAATGTTCAATGCAGATGAATCACTGATAGACAGCTACTTGAGAAAATTGGCAACACAATCTTTCAATTGGATCTGTTACAGATTAGCATAAAATCAAAGATATAGATAGGCATTGAATTTCTGTATTTATAAATTTGATTAAGATGATTCCCAATTTAGTGGGACTTGTTAGTAACCAATTTCATTAACAGATTCAATATGGATTCCTCAAAGTGCCATATTAACAGTGGTACACTCAGTGAGGACCAAAATCACTGCATTACTAATCAAATGAAAGTTACCCAGTACTTATTGGATTAATAGAGCATTCCTTTTTTTTTTTTTTTTTTACTACCAATGCCATCAAAAATAAAGGCTTTTTTTTTTTTTTTTTTTATTTATCCAATCAAGTTATGTTATTGATAATTGGCTTTCAGTGAACAGAACATTATTTACTCCATGAGCCGTTTTTTTGCATTTCTTGCACTTCTCATGGCGCCAATATTCTTTCATCTGCTGTGTTGCTCTTCAGTTTCTTGTCAAAGATGTTCTTTTATTTGCATTCTCATATTTTCTCTTGTATTAAATTCTTTGTTTTTAATTTTGAATCCTTTCAGCTACATATTTTCTCAAAGCAGATGACCTGGCATTAGCTTCATCCCTCGTTCATTGTTGTCCCTATTTTTATAAATCCTGTCTCATTAATTTTCACCTCTGAGCCTAGCATCTCCTGGTTTGTGCTCTTATTGCTTCATCGCATTCCTGAGAATATCTCAGCTACAACCTCCCAATGCCATGCCTCTATCTGACCCGGAGATAGGTGTAATCACCGTCTTCATTTTCATTCTAATCTTTCCTCAAGGGAATTTTCCATTTTATGATGTTCAGGGAACAAAATTCTTTTAAATGCACAAAACACAAAGGGAATTATTTAAATTTCTTTCTACATTTATTGACCAAATTTGTGCCGAATCTTTGATACAAAACTAAAATCTATTTATATATGATGATAATATTCTAGGAGTAATTACAAGTTAATACTAAATTCACTCAATAGTTATTTAATTACATATTTAGAGGGAAAAAGTGATAAAATAATTTACATAAAATATATAGTGATTGATGCCTTTTCTGCAGCAATGTTAATAAAAATGTCATGATTTGTTTGAAAGTAATTGTTATTTGTAAACAAATGATTATTACCATTATAGCACTGTAGGTCAGTTTGTCTCATTATGCCCTCCCTCAGATGAGTTGTTAGGTTAGTTTTATTTAAGAAGCTCCAATACAAACATTTCAGAGGATACCAAAAAAGGAAAAAAAAAGGTAAAAAAAAAAAAAGAAAAAAAAAAAAAAAAAGAAAAAAAATAGAGTTGGATGACATATCCAGTTAACACCATGGTGTTTAGAGTGATCACTAGTGATGGCAACGTTATGCCTCAATCTTCCCACAGAGCCTCAGATGAGATATGGAAGCCTAAATCAAGTGCGACTGCTGGTAAGACCTTATGTCTAGCAACAAGACCCTGCACCAGGCTGTCAGAATTTCTGCAACCACATCAGACCTTACATCTGGCCACCCAACTCCCCATACTGCAAACCCTCTTGATTACTATGTGAAGGAAAGGTTTATGGCAGCATTCACCAACTTAAACAAGGAGACTGTCCAGAAAAGTTGCAAGAAGTTCCCAAGTCATCTGGGGGCTGTGGTTATTGAATAAATTTATTCTTTAGTACTTAAAGATTCTTGTGTAACTTTGGTAAATATCTGCTAAAATGAGAGGAATTATTTTTATTTTTGTATAATTTGGACATTGCACCTTTTTATATATCATTTCTGTTGTGCAGGAACAGCTTTGGGATAGAATCTCCAACTGACGCCAATTCAGCCAGGTTTTGATCCTAATGTGATAACTGAGATTAATATAAAAACAAGATCATATAAATTAAAGTTTAGCAGCAGTAGTTAAATTTCCTAAGATGATACTGATACTTGTAGGTACCATTCTCAGTTGATTGCTTGTTTTGTTTAACGGCATTCCAACCTTAGTGGTCACTTCATGCCGAAAATGATTTTGGTATAACTTGCAACATTTGTTTTTAAAAAAAAAAAAAAACATCCTTTCACAGTGTTTTGACCCCAGTTACAATTCCATTGAATAAGATTTTGTTAAAAGACATAGCTGATAATATTATTTTTCAAAAAAAGTAGAGCTGGGAATATTATTTTTCCAAAAACGCATAGCTGGTAATATCATTTTTCGAAAACACACTGTTGGCAATATTATTCGTCGAAAAAATATAGCTGGTAATACTACTTTTCCAAAACCGTATAGCCGACAACCTTAATTTTTCAAAAACGGTCTGTCGGACATAGTTTATTGTCATGCCCATGGATACGAGCTAGACTGGGAGTTCACTATTTGCCCAAAGCTGGGACCCTAACCCCAGGTCAGGGTGGACCTGGGAACATCAGCAAATTAAGAGGTGGTTCCATGCTCCTCAAAACCTGATCAGAGGCCTTGCTGTTGGATCCAGTTTAATGTCGTACCCAGGATGCCTTCTCGGTTGAAATTGAAAGAAAAAAAAAAAAAAAAAAAAAATCAAATTAACGTCTCCATACGTATTTCGCAAAAGTAAAGGCCTTAACAGCAGAGAACAATGCTGAACTCAAATAACGCAACTTAAGTGTATTCTGGTTGCTCTTCCGTACTTTATAATTACCGCCTGATTATAAACACAAAATTACATTTCTTAATTACTACGGATCTTCTGATTAGTCAAAATGATAGCAATTTGAAAATTGCTAAAAAATGATCTATCTTATAAGGACACTTAGAATAACTGATGTAGCTTTTAACTAATTTTATATTTTTTTAAAAACTTAATGTAAAAATCTATTATAATTAAAGAAATAAATAACTGTATTAAAAATTCAATCTTCATTGAGAAAATCTTTTGCTTTCAGAAAATATTGTCCATATTCATAAAAACAACTAAAAACAAAAAAGCATTTGAAATTAAATAATCTCTTTATTTTATTGAGTTTTCTATGTTACAATTCAGAGCCGATTTTCAGGTACTGTGGATCCAATTAAAAAAAAAAAAGTTTGCATTCTTCGAAGCCTTGTGCTTTTAACTATTGTAATCACTAAAACCGATGTGATCGAATTTCTAGAGTTTTTCATAAAATTAGTTATGGGGTGTTAAGAGATTATATATATATATATATATATATATATATATATATATATTTATATAAATAAAAAAAAAAAAACATAATAATTTCGATCATCTGTGAATAGTTTCTGAAAGTTTCATTAACATCCGACAATTATTTTTATTTTTGCAAGATTTTCCAAATTAATGTGTGTAATATATAAAAAAAAAAAAACTTGCTAAAAATTGTCTGTTATTCCGGTTGGTACAAAGAAACGAGGTTCAAAAATCAAAATTTAGGATGTTCTAAAAAAGGAAAAATTTTAAAAAAATAATTCAAAAAGACTTTGGTCTTTCCTCTTCATAATAACAAGCATTTAGATGATAAAATTTTGTTTTCATAAAGTTTGGCGTCTTTTTCATCAGACTATGCTCATTTTTTTTTTATTAGCAATTTCATAGAGGTACCTATAACAATAAGTTATTGTTTCTCTTTTATATTATGACTTTGCTCAATGCATTTCATCATGTTGTAGATTTGCATGCAGGCCTATCCTACAAGATCGTTTATTAATTAACTAATTAATTTTCTGAGAGTTTAGATACTCCCCTCTCCCGTTCTTACGTCCCACAACAATTCTTTTTGACTTATTGCTTGTGGTATCTTTCTTGTTTTCCTATTATAATAATTTTATTTATTTGCTAACTCTACATTTGTGTTTCTGTTATTTGTCACCCACTGTGTATGGTCTTTAAGCAATTCCAGCCTGCTCGACCATGTCTGATCAATCGGAAAGAAATCATTGGAGGAATGAAAGTTGTCAAAATAACTACAAACTAATAATACAAGTTGCGATCCTCCTCTATCTCTGCTATTGATCCGGTTAGAGGATGGGGAGGGTCGTAACAATATACATATAGTTACGTAGAGAGACCATTGTGTAAGTTTTTGGTAAACTTGTCAGGTGAAATAAACAGTATCCCCTTTCTCACACACATGAGAAAATTGACAGACATTTGCTGATACCTCCTGATGAGTGAACTGAACAATTATGCAAAAGTTCATCTAAGAAACTGAAGATGCTGAATGTATCAGTCAGTTAAGTGACAACTTTTATATTTCTATTCATTCTCTAGGGATACAGAAAGCAATTATCTCAATTTGGTGGTGATTGCTGATTAATGACGTCATGCCATACAGTGGCAGTGAAATTTTGATTCGTTTTACAGTAGTCCTAATGAGAGGTTGCTTTCTTTAGCCCGAGCAGAGGATACCCCCCCCAATTTGAGGGTTCACCATTTGCTCATAGACGGGACCCTAACATGTGCTACCACCCTAGGTCAGGGCACACCACAGAACAACAGCAATTAAGTGTTGGTTTCACATTCCTCAAAACCTACCAATCAGAGATCTTGCTGCCGGATGTAATTTATCATACCCAGGACAAAAGCGAGAACCTCATAAAACTATAAAGACAAAAAGATTCTTCATAACACTCCAACTTTACAACTTCAATCTCATCTAACAACCTATCTAGGTAGATGAATTTGACATGGGAACAGTATTCAATAAACATCAAATTTCACATCACATGATTTCCTTGGGTTGGGATAACTTAAAAGTAAACTGTACTTTGTGAATTTTCAACAGTTTTTTTAAGAAAGATATTTCTCAAGAGATTAGCCAAGGTCTGCAACATTTAGACTCTAGATTGTGCATTCCAGCAAAAGACATTTTGAATACATAACACACAAAATGAAAGACATGAAACAATGTCATCTAAGCATTTATCATTGATGATAAAAGTGCTGAATTTGTAAGAAATAATCACATCTATTAAGAAAATATGATACTTACTCGATACAATTTGGGCAGGAATATTTGTCCATGTTGTATATGAAACTGGAAGGGGGAAAAAAAAAAATAAAAATTAATCTCTTGTTGCTTGATAACTGCTGGTAAATTGTGCATTCCCGCAAAAGACATTTTGAATAGTCAGCATACAAAATGAAAGACATGTAACAATTTGTTGTCTAAGTATCTATTACAATGATAAAAGTGCTGAAATTGTAAGAAATAATGACATCTATTAAGAAAATATGATACTTACGTGATACATTTTGCGCAGGAATATCCACACTCGGTGTTTTAGCCAAAACTGGAAGTGAAAAAAAATTATTTATCACTTGTTGCTTGACAACTGCTGGTAAATCACAGGGGGTTGAAATTTACTTCATGTGCTGACCTTGAAAAGTATTTAACTTAATTGTTATCCTCCCACAAATATACAGAATTTCTGCAATATTTTCAGAAGTCAGTTCGTTTGATTGATGTTCTTATATGGAAGTTTAATGATAAATATATATGATCCAGGTACGAAGATTTACGTTAACTTTCATTGGCAGTTTTGTCACACTTTTGAATAAGTGTCTAATGATTACCAGTTAAATATAGATAATTTTCATTGATGTCAGATGTAGAGCTGCTCTGATGCAATAGTTGGGACTGACACCAGATGGCAGTAAATAACACATTTGAGGTAGGCGAAGGAAATGCATTCAATTTGGTAAGATACTTTTTTTTTAACACTTGAGAAAGCCTCCTTTTTTTGGCCAACAGTGAACCATATCAATTTGGTGTTGGGATACTTGACAGAGAGTAGTTTGATTTTCAATGACATAGTATACAGTACCCACTTTACAAATTTTTTAGTTTAACAGAGGAAAGAAAGAAGAACTGATTATATAATGGTTAATTCTGTTAAAGTCACACACAATTAATTGTAATAGGTTTCCCTGTATGGCAATTACAAGGTGGTACTGAAAATTTTTTGGTCAAAATCAGATTTAAAAATAAGTTCTCATGTCCATTTGGTCAGATGTTGGGAAATGGACTGAGCCGAGAACTTTTCAGCACCCTACTCATACAAGAGAGAAAAGTACAAAAACTATAGAAGAGATTAAATCTTTTTTTTCTTGTAAAATCTGTTCATTTTTACAAAATAAAGAATGAAAAATAATCCATGTTTTAGTAATTTCCAAGTAATATTGTAATTTAATCAAAGACTTCAAAATTTTATAATATGGGTTTTGGTCATTTATTCAATTTTGTATAAAAGTTGTTTAATAAATGTTTAAATTTGCCAGGTAATAAAAATAATAATCTATGTATGAACAACTATTTATAGGTTTAGAGATAAATACTTTCAACTCCCATTCTCCATCCTAAGCTCAAGAAATATGTAGAGAATTAATGAAAAGGTATTTGAAACTTACCAATTCCAAAGGGCAAGCAACCCAGCTGAAGAAAAAAAAAAAAAAAAAAAAACGATAAAAAGATTTTATTTTCCCTTTGCTTAAATTATTATTGCCATAAGTAACAACCAATTTTTTTATCATTAGTTAACATAAATTCTATTATTTCATTATGAATTTTATACAAGTTAATCTTTGAGATCTGCTTGAGTTTGCATTGTAGGTTTGAAGTACATTTCAAAACGAAATTTAATGTAATGGTTTTTAACATCTTAAAGAGAATGAAAGAAAGAATCCCCGTCTTACAATCTGCTGTGAGTTTTCTATAAAGATTTAAAAAAAGAAAAAGAAAAACTTACCACTAACAGTCCCCAAAATAACTTCATTGCTCCTGAAAGGGGAAGTATATGTAGATATAAGATAAGACAAACAAAAATAAGTGTTAGGACTAAATCAAGAGCAGCTTCATTCTTTCATGATATAATTCGCAAGACCAAAGATATTTCAAACAAATTATTGCAGGATTGTAAAAACAAAATTTTCAATTTAGGGCCCTAATAAACATTTAGATGATAGAACTTTGTTTTTCCACATGCTATTATGTCTATATTTTTTTGTGAATTGTTCATGTGATACATGCCTGGAGAAGTTAATTTGATTTTTCAATTGAGAAGGGTACCTACAAGTATTAGGTACCTATCTTATGAAATTTATATGATCTTAGTTATGACATTTTCCATAAATGAAATATCAAAATTAATAAATAAATGGAAATACAAATAACAGTAAAATGTAATAAATGTACATAAAATATTTTATGTCAGTCAGTTATGGGCCATGTGTGATGCACGCATAGGCACTTATGTATCTTGATACATGACTCACGAGGCAGATTTTTCCCCACAGTAGGTTGTCCTGCTATTTACCCATAGCTGGGGGGAGAAGAGTCATACCTTTCCCAACGCAAGTGAATGTAATGGATTCAACTGGAATTTGAACTCGGCTCTCCAATCCCTCAATCTGAGCCACTATCCTTTACCATAAAATTTCATAAGGTACCTATAAATTAGGTAACTTCAATAATTCACTAAAAATCAGTATAGCATAATGATAAAAGACCCTAAACTTAAAAACAAAGTTTTATCAAAATGTTTGTTATTAAGAGGAAAGAAAGCATTTAATTATTTAAAAAATTTTTTTCCTTCTTTCCACACGTTCTAAATTTGGAGAAAGTAAATCAATTTTTTTCACAACTACTGTCAACTTTAAGAGTCTGCTACAAATCTCAAAACAAAAGCTGCAATAAAACTATCTAATTATTGAATTAGACTTATTTACTTTTATAAATAATATACATTAAGGACATTATTATCTGAAGAAAAAATTTTTTTTTCAATGAATAAAGAATTTTTACAAGAATTGTTGCATCTTTCTTTTAGTTTTTTTTTTTTCATTTTTCTTTAATTTTAAAAATCTTCCAAACAGTATGAGGTAGGTTATTAAGTTTTTAAGTGAAGAATATATTTACTAAGTGAAAATTAAAAGCTTAATACAAATCATGCCACCAAAACTTTACCATAATTAAAGATACTTTCTTTGTGCATCAAAATGTTCAATTTTTTTCAGTATGGTGTCTTGTAAGTGATATTATGGTTAAAAGGTCATGCGTTTGTCTAGAAAATTTTATGCTATAAGTGATATTTGTTTCAGAACAAATTAATTTAAATTTGTTAATTTTACGAAAGTAACGTTTCAGAAATGTATGTCTTCTTTTAGCGGGAAAAGGAAAAAATAAGTTGTGTAAATTTCTCAAAAAAAAAAAAAAAAAAAAAAAAATTAATTTAAAAAATAGCAGTTTCGATTGATTTCCAGGAAGAATTGACTAAAAGACATTCAAATTTCTATTTGAAATACTCCACAGTATTTTTTTTTCTGGAATTAGAAAATTTAATCCTTTAGCTTTCAATCGAAGTTGGGGAAAACTTTGAAAAGGATTTTTTTGCAGGTACCTAGATAAAATTTTGTAATGTATATATTTATTTTATAGGTACCTTACTTATGAAAGGTTATCAAAAGTGTACATAAAATACTATAATTTTATGTACATTTATTACATTTTACTGTGTTATTTTATTTCCATTAATTTTCATATTTCATTTATGGAAAAATAACCGATGTAATAAAAAAATAAGATAATTTTCATAAGATAAGGTACCCTTCTCAATTGAAATATCAAATTAACTTCTCCATGTGTTTTGAACAAACAATTTGCAAAAATAAAGGCAGTAACAGTTAACAGCAGAGAATGATGCTTAACTCAAATAACATGACTTTTTATTGTATTCTTGCTAGTCTTCCATATATTTGAATTACAGCAGTTTTAATGGACACAAAAAAAAAAAAAAAAAAAGCAATCTGGAATTAGTTTTTTTCTATACCCTGTGGCTTTTCTGATTGTTATAAGCTATACAACTTGTAATGCTAGAAGAGATCTACTTAACACCACTGACTAAACTGAACAGCGATTTTATAATATTTAACAACTTTAATGTAAAAATAAAATAATTTAAGAAATAACAAATGTTTTAAAAATTCATTTTTCAAAAAATGTTGGTTGCTTTCAGACAATATTATCCATATTCAAAAAACAACTAAAAGCATTTGAAATTAAATGTTATCTTTGTTTTTTGTATGTTACAGCTCAGAGCTGATTTTCAGGTAGGGGTGTCAGATTAAGGAAAAAAAAATTCAATAACTATAACATTAAAGAAAATGAAAAACTAGAAAAGAGATGCAAACAATTCTTGTAAAAATTCTTTATTCATTGAAAATTTTTTTCAGACAAATAATAATGTCCTTAAAAATGTATATTATTTTTTTATTTTATGATAAGGAGCAGATTTTTTAAAAGTTGGTAGTAGTTGTGAAAAAAAAAAAACAAAAACAAACGAGTCCTGCTTTATGAAAATTTGCAAACTATTTTAAATTCTAGAAAACTTCATAAATCAATTCATTCATCTTTGAATAAGTCCTGAAAGTTTTCTTAAAATGAGAATTATGATTTTTGCAAGAATTTCCAAATTAATGAGTTTTCTGGTACAAAAAAATGGTTATTACTTAACATTAACAAGTAGTACAAGGTTGACAAGAGAAAAAAAGAAAAAAGAAAAAACTTTTTTTTATGGCAAAAAAGCTTTCTTTTTCTTTGTTACTTAAAAGTTTTACTTTTGTGCAGCTATTCCTATGGCCGGTGTTTATTTTGTGTTAGGAAGAAAAACCTGTTTTTCGCCTTCCAGTAGCACACAGCACTAGCATGGCCACCGTGTAATACACTGAAATTGAATGATGAAATACACGAGTGTAACATAAAAGATTTAATAAAGGAAACGACTTACATAATTAAAATAAAAAGATTTATGTCCCAAAACAAATGATTTTTCATATTGTCCCAAAGAAACGAGGATTTTTACAGAACGAGGACAAAAAAAAAACAAACTTTATGGCCTTTAATAATCCGCAGATAAGTGAATAGAAATTAATTACTTTTTTCTTTCGCTAAGCCGCGCACATGTTGATCAGTTTACGTGTGTTGATGGCTTTGTGGCGAGGAAGGTAAAGAGACCGTTCCTCAAAAAACGGAGGCAAAAAACTAAAGGGCCAAGAGTTTTCTTCTCTAAAAGGTACACTCTCAGGAACTCAACTGTTGTCTCCCTACACGGGCAATGTCATCGAAAAGGGGCTTAATGTTTGGTAATCTATTCATTCCCCGCCCCAGGTCTATCAACTTTTTTTTTTTTTTTTTTTGATAAAGGAAAATTTTTCGCGTTATAAAGACGAAAAGATTAAAAAACGAAAAAAAAGTGATAGTAGTAGAAAAAGTGATAGTAGTAGTAGTAGAAAACTTTTTACAGCAAATAAGCTTTTTCGTCGGTATTTTTCTCGTTAGGTTAGAAATTAAGGCTTTTCCTCAAGCTAAAAAAGGGGACACTCTCAGGAGGTCAAGTGTTGTCTCCCAACACGCGCAAGATTCACCCATCAAGGAGCTGATTTGTCGACGTCTCTCAATTTTTTTCTTTTTGTTAATAAAGGAAAAGTATCAAAACGAAAATATTTCTTTTCTCGTTAGAAATTAACGCTTTTCCTCAGGCTAAAAAAAAAAAAAGAAAAAAAAGAAAGCAAGGATGTATTGTTTGTCATAACTTTCGTGGATTTAATTATTCCAAATCAGTCATTAATTTATAACAAATGTTTTAAAAATTCATTTTTCAAAAAGTTGGTTGCTTTCAGACAATCCATATTCAAAAAACAACTAAAAGCATTTGAAATTAAATATTATCTTCAGGTAGAGGTGTCAAGAGAGAGAGAGAAAAAAAAAATTCAATATTAATTAAAAATTCAATATAATTAAAAAGTGTTCATTCCTCTTAAACATTTTTATGATAAACCTTTATTAAGTTTACTGACTTTTAGCGAATTATTCGAAGTACCGAATTTTATTTCATTCAGTTTTGGTTTGTTTCAATTTTTTTATATTTTCCATAAAGCATTGGAAACAAAAGGTAAAAAGCTAAGTAAAACCTCGAGAGCTGAAAGTTTTCCTTAAAAATAACAGTAAATAAGTTGATTCACTTAAAGTTAAATAATTATGTCATAATTAGCATTATGTATCCTAACAAAACAAACAGTCCATACTAAGTACAAAGGATGAGAAGTTTAACCCATTTTTTTTAGGTCCTCAAAGATGCAGAGACAGAGAAATGAAGAATTTCTAAGACAATTTTTGTAGAAGGATCAATTTGTCGACTTGAGAAAAACCAAAGTTTTTTCACATATTTTTTTTCTTTTATTAATAGCAGTATTTTTCTTTTTAATAAAAAATTTTAGAATAAGTTCAAAAACTATTCAAATTTCTCAGTGTTAAGATTTCACTTCGGTCGATGACACCCAATTCTTTTTTTCAATCACCCATTTTTAATGATAGCATTATTACCCGATAGTAAAAACAAAAAACATACCAACTTTATGGCCTCTGATAATCCGCAGATAAGTGAGAATAGAAATATTACTTATTCTTTCGCTATGTTGACCAATTTACACACGTGTGGATGCCTTTGTGGCGAGGAAGGTAAGAGACCGTTCCTCAAAAAACGGATACAAAAACTAAAAAGGACAGAAGGGTTCTCCTCTATAAATGGGACACACTCTCAGGAGATTAACTGTTGTCTCCCTACAGGCGCAAAAAATTCACCCAATAAAACATTTTATTTGTCGACGAAAAGGGGCTTAATGTTTGTTCATCTACTCATCCCCCCCAATGTCGACGTTTCATTTTTTTTTTTTTTTGATAAAGGAAAATTTTTCACGTTATAATTAAAACGAAAAGAGA